TGAAAGCTTGCAAACCAGTGACTTTTCAAAAAGCATTTAACTTTAGAAACTGTAAATTTGTCTGCATGTCTATTAAGCAGAGAGAGACAAATGGCTATTTTTTAATTGAAAATGCGGGGGGACAGAGGGAAGATCTTTTGGTAGAAGTTCCATAGGATTTTTCTAAGTGAAAACAGATGGGTATTTTAAAGCTAAAAGAAAAAGCTTAACTGCATCTTAGGCATATATATTCTTTTGGGTGTATACTTTCTTGTAGTACTTGCGGCTTATGAGAACTTTTCTTTTTTATTGATGGGTGTAATTTGGCAACCAAATACACTGTTTATCTCTTCCACTCTTTTGTAGGTTGCTAATAATTAAACTGCTGAATGAGAACTTGAAAAGTTTAACTGCTTTGTTTAACCAAGTGCACATAATTCACTTGGTAGGAGTGATTCTCTGTGTGCTTTTTGTACAAAGCAGGCTCATCTCCCCTGAAATCCCTTGGTAAAGAAAGGACGCAGCTATGGGACAGCATGCTTAAAGCTACTTGAACCCTGTCAAAAAAGGAAATATTAATATTGCACTGGAAATGGGATTTATAGCACATGCAAGTGTGCTAGATCAAGCCCCGTACTCAAGGCAGGGAATAGGACATGTGCAGATATGCAGCTCACCTCTTTTAAATGGTGTTGCAGTTACATAGTTGTTCTAGCTCAAGATTTGCTTGATACTGTTGCTGGTTCAAACCGACTATGATTTACTAGCAATAATCTTACCTGTAAGGTGGAAAAAAAAATGCCTGGCAGTGACAGGCAGGACTGGTGGGTCATATTTCAGTGGAATGATAAGCAAGTGTGCTCTCCTGTGCTCTGCTCCTTGCAGGAAATGATTAACCTGCTGTGTTTGCTTCACTTGTTCAGGGCATTTCAGTGTTTTTTTGGAACAGGTATCCTTGAACTGCCACATGTTGTTGAATGAAAGCACAGGTGCTGGACTGGGGGAAGGGGTGTCCACCCTGGCTGGGAAAGCATGATGGAGATGGGCAGAGGCCCTCACCTTAGGGAGGGGATGCAAGCAGGGAGGAGTGCCTGCTGCAGGCACATCATTTGCTGATCCTTGAGATGGGCTG